CAGATGGGATTCACCTGGGCTGAGAGCCTGGGCTTATAAGGGTGGCATCACGGGGACGCCAGAAGCATGAACGGGAGAGCAAAGAAGCAGAACCATGAGAGAAGCAGAGAGGCCACGAGAGAAGGCCAGAGAGCCCAGAGTGAAGAATTGCTGGGGACTGAGAGGCCTGCCAGCCTTCTGGCCTGCCAGCACCCCTGCCTGCCCTGTACCTGGTAAATCCCAGCAAAACCTGAAAATCCACTGAGGACTCTGTCCTCCTCCACCCATCTTCAGGAATCCTAGAAAACCTGCTCTGTGCCTGTCCTGCCATCACAATGAGCGAGGTAGAATCGATCATGTGCACCCCCTCCCTGCTTCGACAGCTGCCTGTATCTACATGACAGAATAGGCTGAACAGGCCCTTTTCTGCAGCCCCCCAAGCTTACCTTCTGAGTAGTGTGTGTCGTGGGGCTATGGCACAGGCAGGAAGCCATCGCCCCTAATAAACCCCTGAGGTCACAGAAACCCAGAGTGTGTGAAGATGAGCAGGGGAGAAAGGGCTGAAGGGAAATAAACACGACAGGAGAAGAGGACCCCGGAACGCGCTGGGCGTGGACGGTGAGGTGGTGCGGGCAGGACACAGCCTGGAAACTCGCTGTCACTTGTTGCGTTTCAGATCCTGAAAACAGGTGCTGGGTGCCCCGAAACATATTTTGTTGCTATTTCTGGGAGCACATTTACAAATCAGAAAATGATGAATGCAAACTTGAGCCCGAGCAGCCGGTGCACATCAGGACAAGTGGATGGGTGGATGGACTCCCAGCGCTGCTCTTCCCATGAGCGTGGGTGAAACAGGGGCTTGTGGGGTGGGAGCAGTGGCAAGAAGCCCCCCCAGAAGCCAGAAGAGGAAGCCTAGTTGTAACAGGGTGGTCCCCAGGAAAGGGGGAGGTTCCAGGTTCCCTGCCCCACCCAAGGGAGGGTGGAGCTGAGCAGGGAGAGAAGAAGCTGCAGAGGAGACTGAGGAAGGAAGGAAGCAGGATGGAGCCAGGAGACCTGGAGGAGGCGCCTGGAGCCTAGAGACACGTGAAGAAACTGCGCTTGTCTTTTGGTCGTGGAAGGGGTGACACAGATGTGGGTGAGACCCAAGGGGAGGTGACAATGGCAGCTTTTATCTTGATGTTGATTTTGCTCTTTTCCTTCCGGGCTTGTCTGGTTGTTTCTGACCCTTTTCTGTGGGTCCCCACTGGAAGGTGATTTAGACTTGGGGAGGCTTTGGGGCCTTGCTCTGGGCCAATCCCATTTGGATGGACTTTTACCCACGAGGGGACGGGTAACTTTGGGTGCTTCATTTAGAAACTAGACTCTTTGCCTTTCCTGTATTGTTTCCCAATTGTATTAAAGTTCCTTCCCATTAAAGTCTCCTATGTTTTGTGTTGACGCGGCGGATGGCAGAACCCATTTAGAATAGGCAGGTTTGCGGGGTTTGGGCTGCCCCTCTCCCTGCCCTGTAACATACTGACAGGGATGGACCTAGAGGGCATCATATTTCGTGGAATAAGACAGAGAAAGACAAGCACGTTATGATCCTCCTCTGTGGAAGAAAGAGAAGTCAGACAGGTGAACTCACTAAAACCTGTGTTTAGATTTTAAGTTCTTACCAGAAGGGGGTGGGTGAATCAGGTCAGAGGGGACAGTAATAGGATGAAGAATAGAATGGACGTTTAGTGGTGAACTTAATGTGGGATGTGCACGGACTCAGTGACGCACACCTAAAAGTTAAGTCACGATATAATGCAATGTTACTTCGCTTAAAAAAAATCTCATTTTTCTATGGGGACTCAATCTGAAGGGGTGGGGGGAAAGCAAATATTGTCTAAAAAATTTTTAAAAATGTTAACTTAAAAAAACAAAAGAAAAAAAGTAAAAAATTGATGTAGAAGTTAAAAAAAATCACATTTGCCAAAATATAAATAAATAATAAACCTCTGCTAAAAACTTCTTAGTACAGTACAGTGCCCCTGCCGTCTTCCTTTTACCTTAAGTCTTAAAAATTCTCATTTCCAAAATCACTTAAGTCAATGCCTCCCCACTCCTCAGTGAGTTGTTTCACAAGTTTATATTAGATTCCTTAGTCTGTTTATATTAGATTCATGGTCTGTGTTTGATTCTGGGAAGCACAGAAGTCCTAAATGCCTTTTTATTTTGCATATATTAAAGTTTCCTCTGTGAAGTTGAATCGTTTTGACAAACTACATAGTGCTGTGTGTCCATCATTAAGAGTTTACCACCCCTTCCCCCCAAATCCTCTGTGATTCATTGATTCAATCTTCCTCCTGTCCCTGAGCCTCTGGCAATCACTGATTTTTTTGCTGTCTCTATAGTTTAGTCTTTTCCAGAATGCCACATCATTAAGATCAAACAGTATGTAATTTTTTCAGACTGAATTCTTTGATATAGAAATATGTCCTTAATATTCTTCATGTCTCCTCATGGTTTAATAACACATCCCCATGGTTTTTTTTTTTTTTTCTGCTTATTAAAATTCTCTTGTGTGGATGTGATAGCCTGTTTTTTCATTGATTAAAGGACATCTTGATTGCTTCCAATATGGAAAGTTATGAATAAAACTGCCATAAACACGTACTTTCAGGTTTTTATGTGGACACAAATCTTCCTAGTCGTTGGATGAATATCTATTGAATGTGGTTGCTGAAGTTTTTAGTAAGACTGTTTAGCTTTGGAAGAAAATGCCAGGCTAACTTTCAAAATGGCTGTGCCACCAACTGTGAATGAATTCTCACCAGCATTTGAAATTGTCAGTTTCTGTGTGTTTGTTTGCTTTTCAGCCATTCTAATAGCTGGGAAGAAGTCACCTGATTTTAATTTGCAATTCCCTAGTGTCTGGATGATGTAGGGCATCTTTTCATATGCTTATGGTTCAGCTATATCTCTTTTTAAAGAGAGAAGCCTTTGCAGATCCTTTGACCATTTTTAATTTGGGTTTGTTTGCTTTCTTTTTGGTGAGTTTTAAGTGTTCTTTGTATACTCTGGATATAAGTGCTTTATCATATATATGTTTTGCAAATATTTTTACCAGTTTGTGACTTGTCCTTTTTATTTTCTTAACCATGTCTTCTGCAGAGCAGAAGTTTGCAATCCTAATAAAGTGCAATATTTTTTCTTTGAGACAATGTCTTTGCTGTTGTGCCTGAGTCAAGGGTGACTAAATTTTCCACTGTGTTTGCTTCTACAAGTTTTGAAACTTTGCATTTCACATTTAGGTCTGTGATATCCTTGAAATTTTTGTGAAAACTGTAAGATGTGTGTCCAGAATCATTTTTGCATATGAATATCCAATTGTTTCAGCACCATTTGTTAAATAGACTTCTTTTTGCATTGAATTGCCTTTCTCCATTGTCAAAGACCAGTTGACTATCTGTAGGTAGGTTTATTTCTGGGCTTTTTGTTCAGTCCCATTGATCTATGCATTTACTCTCTTACTTTCAAGTAAACCTTGTAGCTTAGTAATGTGAATCCTCCAAGTTTGTTCCCCTCTGGTAGAGTAGCCAGGCAACCTGTTTTATTTTATGTCGGGGTTGCCCTATAACACTTTGAAACAACTCAAAATTCTGGGTATTTTGGCTTTCAATATCTGAAAAATAGATCACTGGGGTTTTCATTGGGATTGCAGTGACTCTGGGTCAGTTGGAAAGAATGAATATTTTCATGATATTTAGTCTTACATTTTATATGAAAATAGAATATCTTATTTAGCCTTCTATGAGTTCTTTTGAGAATTTTGCAATTTTTCATGTAAAAATCCTGTACATATTTTGTTAGATTTATATCTCAAGTTTTTCATTTTTTGATGTTATTGTGAGCACTGTTTTTCTTCCATTGCCAAATTCTAACAGTTTACTCATCATATAAAGAAAAGCAGCTACCTTTTGTGTATTAACTTTATAACCTGCAATGTTATTATAATTGGATATTCCTTTTTTCCCCAGATTTTTCATTGATTCATTGGCATTTCCTACAAATACTTGTAGATGTGATCTGCAAATAAAATCCATCCTTCCCTTTCTACATACAATTTTTTTTTTTTTGCGCTAGTTAGAATTTCTAGCTGAGTAGGATTGATGAGAGGACATTCTTGTTTATCATTAGTCTTAAGGAAGAAAGCAACAAGTTTCTCACTGTTAGGTTAGCTGTGAGTTTTACATAGATGTTACTTGTTAAGTTGAAGACTTATTTTTTGTTTTTTTTTAAGATTTATTGTTATTTATACAAGCACTGGGAACAGTCAGAAGCGCGGGAGAGTGAGAGAATTCACCAGAGCCAGAGCGGGGAACAGAACAGGCAGACCGATGAAATACACTGAGGGGAGCAGCAGGCGCGGCAGGAGAGGTCTGCGTGCCACGTGGGACCCTCCTCCGGTGGCCAGGGAGCAGTTGGGGATCGAACCGGCATTGCAGAGGCTGCGGGCAGCTTCGCAACCCAGCGCTCAACCGCTGCGCCACCGGGGAGGCCCAAGACTCTAATTTTTTGAATGCTTCTCATGAAGATGCTTAGGATTTTGTCAAATGCATTTTCTGTATCGTTTGATAAATTGTGCTTTTTCTTGTTGGTGTGGTGATTAATTAGTTGATTTTAAAATCTTCAACCAGCCTTGAATAATTAGAATAAGTCCTCTTTGGTCATGGTGTATTATTCTGTTTATGTGTTATTGGATTTTATTTCCTGATATTTTGTTGAGGATATTCACATCTTTGTCAAAAGAAATAATTGTTCTGGTGTCTTCCTTTATATGACATAGAATGGTTTAGAAAGTGTTTCCTCTTCTTTGATTTTTCTGAGAGAGTTTATAGACAAACTTGGTGGAGAGCTGGTATTATTTCTTCCTTAAATGTTGTTAGAATTTACCAGTGAAATCATCTGACTTTTCATGGTGTCTTTGTGTTGCTATACCAAAATACCAGAAACTAAGTAGGTTATAAACATAGAAACTTATTTTTTCACAGTTCTGGAAGCTGTGAAGCCTGCAATCAAGGTGCCTGCAGATTTTGTGTCTGGCAATGACCTGTTTTTTGGTTCATAAAAGGACCTTCTGTGGTGTCCTCCCATGGTGGAAGGGGTGAGTAAACTCTCTGGGGTCTATTTTATAAAGGTACTAATTCCATTCATAAGGGTTCTGCCCTCAAGACTTAATCACCTACCAAAGACTCCACCTCTTAACACCATCACTTTGGAGGTTGAGATTTCAACTTATGAATTTGGGAGGGCAGAAGGACACTGACACTTGGACCATAGCAGCTTATGCTTTATTTTTTTCAATGTTTATTAATTTTGACTTGACTACTAGAGTTGTGGTTACCTGAGTTTTGGCAGTCTTGCCTTCCAAGGAATCGATCCATGTCATCTATGTTATGAAACGTATGGCATGACTTGTTCATAATATTTCTTTATAACCTTTTAATGTTCATAGCATCCATACAGATGGATCCTCTCTAATTTCTGATATTAGTAATTGTTTCTTCTCTCTTTTTTCTTGGTTAACCTGATTAGAGGTCATCAATTTCATTGATGTTTTCGAAGAGCCAGCTTTTAGTTTTATTGATTTTTCTCTATTGTTTTCATTAAAACTAATTTTCAAGGAAGCATAATACACATACATTCATGAAAACCTTCAAATAAGCCATTGATTAGCAAGGACATTAAATGCCAAACCAGGGGCTGTTAGAAATATAAGACACTCAGTGTATTAGAAGTTGAAGCATAAGAGTTACTCAGTCATTTAAGCTTAAAATCATTTCTGTGAAAAGAAATAAGATTAGAAATAAAGAGGTCTATTTAAAAATGTAGAAAATGAAAATGAATGAGAAAACTAACCTGAAGGATAATACTAAGGAGAACTTAGGACTCAGAGACCCATGAGATCAAAAAAGATTCCTGGGTTGAAACATGTTGCTTTTACTGGTAGGAAAGTGAAATGAGAGAGAGCTGCTTGAAACGATAGCAATAATGTAGTTAGTGTCACAACTTATTTAAGTTCACTTGTGATATATTCTGAGTCCTCAGCTACAACCACACTAGGAAAGGAGAAGAATGAGATTTGACTCAGGCAGGAACATAGTCAACGCAACGGAATTGGTAGGGTTGACCCTTGGGCCTGGGCAAAGATGGGGTCAAGGTAGACAGTTACCTGTTAGCCTAAGACGTGGCACCTAAAGAGAGCTTGTAAACCAAGGTTTGACAAGTTGATGTCAGCTTCTGGTGGCATCAGTAGGTTAGAGGTTACTCAAGCCTGTGTTATCAACTGGACCTTTCCAGAGAATGCAGCTCTGAGTAGTAGCATTAGATCCAACCACTCTGAGGTATGAAAATGGCCCAACAATAAATCCACATGCAATCAGGAAGCTGGAAGCAAGTGCACAGAAGCAAAGTGAACTTAGTTGTTAGTAACAGAGAACAATGGGACTTGATAAAGTGATGAGTTATACTCCTTTGTGAGAATCTAGTTTGTGAATGGCAGAGTAGTGCACAGCTACAATTTAGCATGAACTTGAATTCATCTTAGGCTCCTTGGACTCCCTGATTTCAGTAGCAATACTAATTTCACACTTCACCCTTCAATAAACTAAGGTTGATGAGGTACTATACAGTCCTGGTGAGAACTGGCTGGAAATGTGTTGAACCTGAGCATGTAGAAGGAAGAAATTATTGATTCCTGTTGGAAGGAGCTGAAGATGTTGGTACTGACAGCTGATGCCCGATTCCCTCTTGCCAGAGTCAAGTCTAGTCTGGAAGCTATAAATCAGATCAAGGTCAGACCCTTCAAGCCAGGGAGACCAGCTGTGTTACTGCTAAGGCATCATCACAACAGTCAGAGCTGGTCTCAATCAAAAAGGCAAAAGCAAGATGGTGCATTCTGAAATCAGGAGAACAGCTTTGCTTGCCATTCCAAACTCTCTTTAGGTCCATAATCATCAAATTAAAAGGTGTTTTAAGCCCATAAGGTCAAGAAAAAGTCAACAATCGTGAAAATGTAAAGAGTCCAAAGTGGGACATAGGGAGTTCAGAGTAAAATCTGAATTGTCCTAAGTTGGTGAGATTTCTTTCCATTCAGTGCTGGCTACATGATACCAAAATTATTCTTTTGTTCAACAAACATCTATTCATGATCACTATATGCTAAGCATGGACATAAGTTCAAGAGATAAAATTACAATATAAATGAGACATTACCCTTCTTTCATAACCTGATTAGGAGACACAGCAAAGAAATTTGTGATCCTGATGCTGTGTGATAAAAAAAAAAAAAAAGTATAAAAAGCTATAGGGAATATGCATAAGATCCCAAGGTTTTAGTTGGTGGTCAAGGAAAGTTTCCTGGAGGAACTGATCTCTTAGCTGACAGTAGGAGTCAGTTAATGTACATAGGAGCTTCACCATTATCCTGGAGAAAGTTAACACTTAGGAGCAAAAAGTGAGAGAGTGGAGAGGTATTCAGGAGCCAGACCCCAATGGCCTTGCATGTGATGTTTGTTCCTAGTTTCAAGAGCAGCGAAGATTCTGTAGGTTGTTGTTATGTTTATTTTTTATTTTTTTGCAAGTGACAGTAGGCCAGCTCAGAATGGTTAGAAGCTATTGGCTCATATGGCTGAGAGGGCAGCTGGACACAGACATAACTGGAATCAAAATCACTGCGTGACTCCGAAGTTCTACTTATTTCTTCTCATCTTTGGTCTCTTGGTTTTCTTCTCTTCCTTAATAGACACACACACTAAAATTCTACCCACATGCCATAAAAAGCTCTAAAAAAATGAGGATACAGTAGGCAGAATTCAAACATTTTATTAGGTCATGTCACACAGCACAGTTGACCTTAAGATAGGAATAGATATAAGTGGGCCTGACCCAATGATATGAGCTCTTTAAAAGCAGAAAAATTTTTACAGATGTTGGCAGAAGAGGAAAGTTAGAGATTCAAAGCATGAGATGGTTTTGTGTGCTCTTGCTTGTTTGAAGATAGTCAGAGCACCACTAGTTGAAACAAACAAGAAAATGAGAACATCAGTCCTACAACTGCAAGGGACTGGATTCCACCAATGAGAGCTTGGAAATGGACTTTCCCCAGAGCTGCCAGACAAGTAGTCAGCCCAGCAAACACCTAGAGTTCAGCCTTCTTTATCGTAAGCAGGGAACTCAGCTCTGCCAAGCCAGACTTTTCACCTATCTAAGTGTGAGCCAATAAATCATTGTCCCTTAACCACCAGGGTGGTGGCAATTTGCTATGCATCAATGGAAAATTAACACACAGAGAGTCTTTGTCCCTTGAATTCTGCTTCTGCCCCTCCTGCAGTGAGCTCTCAGGAAATTGCTTTAATTAGCTCAGCACATGTCTCTAAATCTGAGACAATCATTATGGCCCCGTAAAGTGGGATTCACTGATTGGTCCAGATAGGTCAGAAGCCCACCCTGTGACCAATGGATTGAAACTCAGCCGGTGGGAAAACTTATAAATAAAAACACTCACATGGATCATGTTGATGAGGCTGCACACGTGGATGGATACTGTTTACAGAAATTGAAGCAATGTATGTTACAGGAAGAAAGGAACACTTTGAGTATCACAATTAAAATGATCATCGTGCTAAAGAGGGGAGAAAGGCTTAGACATGGATAAGACTGGAGAGGGAAGAATCAATGCCCTAATCTCATAGAGATATGACTGTTATCTGAGCGTGAGTGAGGCAGTAGGAAGTAACATACCACCTAGCTTAGGGGCTGGCACAAAGTAGGCACTAAATAATTTGCTAAATAATTAATGGATGAGTGAGTATGGATGGATGAGTGAGCAAGGATGGAAATGTGAGTGATTTCTGGAAGCAGTTAAGAGATGTAACCCAAAGTAGTTGAAAGCACTAAGAAAATTCACTTTTTAAAATGTTTCTTTAGCTACGTAAACTGTGTCTCCAGGACCACAGACCCCCAGGATCCTTCCACATAACAGGCACGTCTGATTGAGCACATCAGAATACTCAGTGCCTTCATGCATCACTGGGGCGCGATTACATAACACCCTGGATGCCTTCAATCTGCCGTTGCAGACCTCTTGCTGTTATTTATGAATCATTGCAAGCTGACATAACTTTGCATTTCCTCCTTTGCCATATGTCTTCAGTCCCTTGTCATCATTGCTCATCACCAAGGTAACCCCTTCTTGCTTCTATTCCATCAATTTGCATGACTAAGACACCCTCCTAATCCAATGAGGACCCTTGGCCTCCCATGCCTAAGGTAACTGCTTTTGCTGAAAGCCTTCTCCTGGGCTGTGACCTGGTTTCACTCTATTTTCCACTTCATTAACTCTGAAAATGTCCTCAGACGGGCAAAGTCATTTCTCTCCATTAACTCTCAGTAATATGGCAACATGTTCAGATAAAGACCCCATTAAGTAGCCAAAATTGCAGGTGGAGTGCTGGCCCATTGGAAGAGGGGGCTTCAATTACTCTGGATAAATTTTTTGGCTTCTGTGCTCAAGATAACTAGTGTCTGGCTTGGGGCTTTCTTCTCCTTACCTCTTCCCAGGTGGCAGCATCTTAGTAGTACTGCTGGTGAAGTCCCACTCACAGGACCGTAAGACCTCAGGGGAGGAACCATTTTCAACAAATAGTTGAAGAATTTCCATGGATCTTGATTCCATGCCAAGCCCTGGAATTACAGTGATTTAAAAACTGGGTATGCCTCCAGCTTTATGGAGTTTACAGTTGAGTGGGAGATGACCGTTGATCAGATAATCAAACAAAGGTAATGCTCAGCTATAGGAGTACTCTGACTTTTAAATTATGTTAGGATTTATATCAATATTTCTTTTTTATTGAGATGAATTGGTTTATAACACTGTATATCATTTGGAGGTACAGGTTCACCCCTCAGATGTGTGTAACTACACCATCCCCACCCCCAAGGCACTTAGATCCTTTAACCAGAAACTATTGTGCCCCTCCCCCTCTATCCATACCCTCATTTTCCCTCTTGCAGCCTCAATTTGCAGTCAGCTGTCTAGGTTGTATTTTGGTATAGTTTTTTTTTTTTTTAGTTCCTTTGTTTTGTTTCTCTAAATTGCACATA